CAGATAAGTGATGATGTAAGGCCTGCCTGGAAGAAGTTCTGGTGACTAAGCCACCAGGTATGTTTATTTGTGAGGTTGCAGCCATCTCATAACTCACTGCCTTGAATTTATTTTCCCTCTTTTGCTGCCTTACTTCTCTTTCCCCTTCATAAAGTCCTAGGGTTACAATCTCCCATAAAGCTTTGGCTTGTAAGCTTTGCCTCCAAATCTGTTTTCTAGGGAACCCACACAAACACAAACACTATGCAAAAATTCTGGGGTAGAGCCACAGTTCCCAAACTGTGCACAAGGATGCTCAGTTCTGCTGTGAATCCACAGGGGCATTGCAGGAAATTTTAAATTTTTGAGGGAAACTCAGTGATGCTTGACATCTATTAGACACCATGCAAACTACCAGTTCAAGGTAGTTGACAATTTCAACGCTGAATCACGCTACTTTCTTTCGATAATATCATTATCTTGGCAAAGCTGGGTTTTCAGTAGTTGCTCTGATAAAGAGTAATACTGGGGTTGCCCCAGAGCCAAGTGGTTAAGTCCACGTGCTCTGCTTTGGTGTCCCAGGGTTTGGCTGGTTCGGATCCTGGGTGCGGACATGGCACTGCTCATCAGGCCATGCTGAGGCTGCATCCCACATAGCACAACCGGAGGGACCTACAACTAGAATATACAACTATGTACTGGGGGGCTTTGGGGAGAAGAGGAAGAAAAAAAAGGAAGATTGGCAACAGGCATTAGCTCAGGTGCCAGTGTTTAAAAAAAAAAACAAACAGTAATACCATGTGAAAATTAATGTGGAACAGGAAATGGAGGTGGTGGTGTCCAATATGATTCCGAGGTTTGAGAAGCTGTTCTGTGCCCATTAATATCCCATTAGTAAATAATTGTGGCTATTTAAGAATGAAACACAAACACTTTTTCCTTCCAATTTGTGAGTATTATTTTTTTAAGCACCTACTAAGTTTAAGACATAAGTGCTTATTAAATTGTTAGGACCTGACTACCTAAAAAAGATAAATGTTAGGTTCTTCTTTTGGCTTAGAGGCATCAGGAAAAATAATTATGGAGACACTAAGGGTCCTGTGAACTGAGAAAGTTTGGGAACCTCTGGGATATAGCATTCCAGGCAGTAAAAATAGCAAGTGAAAAGGTTGGGAGACAGAAATAAGCTTACACACGTCAGCTCAACTCTGGAAGCTTCCTTTTCTTTTTTAGTTTAGTGACAATATTTTCAAAAGCTCTATTATCCTTAGGTTGGTCTCTTAATAACCGAGATTCTAAACGTGCATGTGTGTCTGTGTGGAGGGGGTTTACGTGCGTTACTTGCTTTTTAAAAAAAGGTGGTTCTGTGTTATTTCCTGAAAATTTCTGATCACTACATACACTTTTTAGATGTGAGATATAGTGTTTTCTTTATTACTGATCTTGCGGTGTTATCTAAACTCTAAAAAAAAATCTCTTCTTTCTTTAAAACTTCATGCCTAAAGTTTTTTTGATCAGGCTTAGAATTGAGGAGACTCAGGTTTGGTATTTAAGACAGGGACGATACCTTTTTAGAATGAACAGTAATTGATCATAGAAAGATGAGGTAAGAAGTCCACCTAAGGGGGCATGGCTTTGGGTCCACTGATGAAGATACTGTCCAGGTGAGGTCTGGGATTAGAAGCGGGATGCTTAACATACCCAGACAGGCTCATTTTCCTGTTTATGTACTTATGTTACTCAAAATCATAAAGATGCATTTTTGAACTTGAGCGTCAATTTCCTTTCTTGTGATTGGAATGCTTTTGACCCATTTCCAAGGATTCCACTTGTTAGAGTCAAGGAAACTAAGAAGCTGAATGAATATTTACAAGGTTGCTTAGTGACCATTGAAACATGAAAAGGAAAATATATTGTCTAAAATGATAAATGAAATGTTAAGTCACTTCTCAGAAGGCCATCCCACAACAAGAATTCATTTGTCTCATGCTGGAATTATTTGTGTTTCTCAGGTGTAGGGTTTCTCTCTTTCTTAAATTTGGGTGCATGTTCAATGACCATGTTTTTTTACCCTATTTTCCTTTGTTTAGCCCATCTTTGTTACACTCTGTAAACAGGCGAATACACACCTGATTGGTTCAGCTGGCTTTCCTGTTAGCCTGGGAGACATTCTTTCTCCTGTTGGTATGTACTGATTCAATCAGGCAAAAACTCAAGATTCTAGCTAGAGCCACTCAACTCTGCCTAAGTGTCCTTGTTTTCTTGTGCCTCTTTCCTGAAATATTATATCAACAGCTATCATTTTTTTCTGTAAATGGTAACATACTAAATAACTGCTTTTCTTTTTTAATCACCATAGTTTTCAGATTGTTTTATGTTAATATGTATCAGTTTGTCTTATTCCTATTAGTGGCTGCAGAGAATTCCATTGTTTGGATAAATAATAATTTAGGTAATTCATCCTATGTTAACAAACATTGAGGTTATTTTCGGTCTTAAATTTTTGGCGTACACCCACAAGGATATCAGAGGACAAATTCCTAGAAGTGGAATTGCTAGATTGATTAGGTTGTGCATTTCAAATATTGATAGATATTACCAAATTTCCCATCAGAAAGACTACACCAAACTACACCAACAATTTGCGAAAGTGTTGGTTTTCCTAGCCCCTCACCAATACTATCTATTATCAAGCTGTTTATTCTAAAAAATGCCATATTATTATAGTTTAAAATTAAATTTCTTTTATAATGAGTGAATTTGAGCATATGTTCAAAACCACTGATATTTCTTTTCTAAGTCAATAAACACTTAATGATGGCCTATAATACGCACAATTGTCATGCTAATTATTGGAGATGTGGTGATAAACAACATACAGCCTCCACATTACATGTGGGAGAGACAGACAAGGGACCAACAGTTACAGTGGTTGAAGTTTGATCTAATGGTGCAATGGAAGCCTGTTGGAGGGGCACCCATCACAGTCCAGAAGGAGATCAGTGGAGGCTTCTAATGAGGAGAGACATGTAAGCTAAAATCTGATGGAGGTGTAGTAGTGACAAGGTGAATATTAGGAATGAGAGGAGCATGGAACTAGAGACAGTGGACCCATGTGTGCAAAGACAGGAGCAGAGAGCATCTGGGACTTGTACAAAGTCCAACTCAGAGTGGCACTATCTGGTCAGTGTGAGGGGGAGGTGGGCAGGGCTGGCACACCAACTGCTAATATGGCCTTGAAAATCAGTTAAAGGGTTGTTTGAACTTTGCCCTAATGACAATATGATATAATTGGAAAGTTTTTAGGTAGAGGATAACATATCAGAAGTATCTTAGGGGTCAAGTTAGAGAATTGATTGGAGAAGGTATGGAGAGCAGTTAGGAAGCAGTCCCATACTCCATGTAAGATGATGTTTCCTTGGTTTTAGATATTTGTGTTCTCATTTAACATTACTGTAGAACCACCTAACACTCCCAGTCCCCTCTGAAGGTGGGGCACACTGTATGGGGGTGAAGAGCAAAGACCTACAACCAGGCAGCCTGGGTGTGATCCCTCGTTCTTCCAATTTCTAGGTGCAGAGCCTGAGCAATGGGGGAAATTACTCACATTTGAGGGGTGCTGTGAAAATGTAAAGAGACAGGGGTGTGAAGTGCTTCGCACCATACTTGTGACGTGAAAATGAGGGCTTAATAACCACTAGCCATTTTTAAAATTTTTATTCTTATTACCTTTCCTCACTCCGCTCTGGAAATGCCCCGACCTTTGGCTTATTATGACGTACATAAGAAGAGAATTACAGAATGTGGAAACTGGGAGAGGTTTGGGGTATTTTGTTCAATCTCCTACTTCCATTCATGAGAAAATGAAAGAAAAGAAATCAAGCAACTTCTCCGGGGTTGCACAAGACCGACCTGAAATTCTTCACTGGTCTGGTTCTCTTACCTCTTACATGTACGTATATATTTTGGTGACTACACTTAGCCTTAAGTATGGATCTTTCTCGTGTTTGTTACGGCAGATTCTTGTGTGGCAATTCCTAACTTGGAAAACTGTCTCACACACTTTGTAACAAATCATTCAAACCCCATACAGTTTTCGATAACGTTAGAAACAAAAACAGGGGTGAGGTGGACAGTTAAATCTGCAGAGACTGCAAGCTGGGTTCGTTTCAGCAGTGGGGTGCAAACCGGTTCGAAGCCTCTTGTCGGGTGAGGCCCTTCTCTCCTTCTCGCTCGGACGCGGCAGCAGCCCCCAGCGCTCCTGTCCTCACTTCTGCCTCCTGGATTCTCTGCCTCTTCACTGAGGGCCCTGGGATCCGATTCAATCGAATTAACAGCTGTTTAGGGAGAGACTGCTTTGTTTAAGGAAGACGCTGGGCTGGAGGATCCAGGGATGGAGTCCCACCCTTCGCCCCTAGAGAGGAGGTAGGCGATCCTCCTGTATCTTAAACTTGACCTTCCCGCCCCCCTTTATATACAATGCGCACGAATTCTCTCCCAGGTTTGCACCGACCACGCTCCTACATCCCCCAAAGGTCTCCCGCGTAGGGCGGCTTCTGCCTGGCTCCAGCTCTGCACACCCGGACACCGGGGTGGAGAGCCTGCTGCCCCGGACATTCAGCATCAGGGGACTGGGACCAAGGTGAGCGCTACCGCTCACGGACCGACTGCGCGGGCAAGGCAGCGCGCCAGTCCGGGTCGCAGCTTCCTCGTGTATTATCCAGGGCGCGGCACGCTTTCCTCTGAGTTTCCCTCCGGCGTTCTCCTTTCCTGCCGCCTGTGTTCGCGCCCAGCGCCCCGAGCCCGGCGGCACCTTATCCCCTCTCCTTTGTCCTCCTCTCCTGCAGCCCGACGCCTCAGGGCAGAGTTCAGGTTCAGCTCTGGCTCACGCTCCCGGTTTAGGAAAAGGCCAGGGGGCTGGAGGGCGCGGGTTTGTAGGGGGAGGGAGAGGCGAGTCGGAGGGAGGTGGCCTCTGATTGGTCGGGGAGGGGGAGTGGAGGCACGGAGTTTCCCACAATGCCCCGGTGCGGTGCAGCCGCGGATGGATGCTGCGGGAAGGGGCTGCCATTTGCTGCCCCTGCCAGTCGCGCGCGGACCCGCCGGCTCTCCTGCAGCGGCGGCCGCCAGCGCCGTCAGCCGGCCCGGCCTCTGCGGCGCCGCCGCCTCGCCTCCCTCCGCGGCCGCAGGAGCGGTCGCCATGAACCCCAGCTCCTCGGCGGGCGAGGAGAAGGGGGCGACAGGCGGCAGCAGCAGCGGCGGAAGCGGAGCCGGGAGCTGCTGCCTGGGCGCCGAGGGCGGCGCGGACCCGCGGGGCGCGGGGGCAGCGGCGGCGGCCGGGGCCGCTGCCCTGGAAGAGCCCGCGGCCGCCGGCCCGAAAGAGAAGGACGAGGCGCTGGAGGAGAAGCTGAGGAACTTAACTTTCCGGAAGCAGGTCTCTTACAGGTAGGCGCCGGCGCCCGGCAGCCCGAGACAGGTGCCGCCGCCGCGGGCGGGAGACCCACACTTCTCCCGCCGAGAGGCGCTTCCACGGAGTTGGGGGCATCTGGCGCTCCCTCTCTCTTTCTCTCTCTCCCTCTCTCTGTCTGTCTCTGCTTCTCCCTCCCCTTTCTGGGGATATGTGTTCTCTTCTCATCCCATCATTCTGGGCTGGAGGGAAGCTACGTGCGCCTGGTTTCCTCCTGTAACCGGAGAGAAGACTGGGTCCCTGAGGTCAGAGCAGCAACAAAAAGGCGCGCGCGTGTGTGTGGGAGGGGGAGGCACACACAGAGATGGCTGGTTTGCTTGAGAGAAGTCCTCAAAGTTGTCCCTAAGCCGATGTCATCTTCAGCCACTCCCCCTACCTTCCAGGTTTCCCTGGATGAGCCTTTGGCACTAACTTGGTAGTTGAGATCACCCGGGAGGCAGAAAGGAACAGCGCTATCCGGAAGGGAAATCCTTACGGAAGTTGGACCTGCATCGAAATTCCCCACTAAGGAAGAGTCAGATGTGAATCCATGTCTAGAGATAGGCAACTGGTTACGGGGGTTACACTTACGGAGGGCTTTCCCTCTCTCCTGGGTGTGCCGAGAAGGACAACCGGGGCGGGGGGGGGGGGGGGCCCGCTGGCAAGCTAGGGGTGAGGGCAAAAGGGGCCCATACTTGCCCCTGAGGATGGATGTATTTGTGAGACAAGCACAGTGTGGGTTACATGGCCCCCAAATTATGATAAAAGATTACGCCCAATTGTGTCAGGATCCAAAAAGGAGAAATGAATGTTCAGTAGGTTCTCTGCCCCCTCTTCCACTCCATCCCCAGGGGAGAATAAAAATATGGACAGGTGGGAGAGTTTCGGAAACTACCCTTACTGCTTGTTAATTTTAAAAGCTGTGGTGATAACACAAGCATAGAATTACAAAAATTTGCACTTGCTAGGGTCGGAGTATTTCTTGAAAAGGGGTCAGTAGAAGCATTCTTGTGACCCTACTTCTTTAAGTTAGCAGTCCTTTCCAGAAACCCATATAAAGTATTAAGCCTGTCACACCATGTGCTGTTATGTAAGCAAAAGCAGATGATAGAGGTGTGTGGGTTTGTGAGAGTGTGCGTTGTGTTTATGGGGGTATGCGTATGAATCATTGGGATCCCCGCAGGCGATGCTGGACTGGAGGTCCCAGCCAGTAGGGCATGTGCTCTGTGTCTGCGTGTTGGCTTCTGGTGACTCCGAAATGGTCTTCCTGGTGAGGTTATTGCTCTCGCATCCCTCAAAAGAGTGTGTTTTGTTCGCTGTGCGTTGAGGGAGTTTCCCACCTGACTTGCTCCTTTAGTTACTCACATAGATCAGGACCAAATACATCTTTCTCTTTATATTTTTGGTTTCTAAAAATAGACAGGTGGTGGAGAGTGGAGTAGCTCTAGGGAGGGATGCTGGGACACAGGCAGTTCCACTTCCTAGGTACGATGGCCTGTCTGGCCCTTAGGGGAACAGGGACTAACTTCAGCCTAATTTAGGAACTGCGAGTGGGAGAGGGAGTTGATTACGTGAAGCACATTGTGGGTCTGGCCTCTCGGGCTGAGAAACGCTCCTGTGTCATTGGTATTCATCAGACTCCTCACTGGGTAGGGCTACAGAGCCGGAGTTTGCAAGGGAAATCATTTTAGCTAGCCTCTTGGTTGAGATCATTCTCTGAGCCTCTCTCCTGGAAATGGGTACTGTGTGGTGCCGTGGCTTTCTGGGTTGCATGCTCACACATGTGTGTGTAAGTGTGTACACATGCAAACATAGACATGGACCCAGACACAGCATTTTTCTCTAGAGGAATAATAATACTGTGTCTGCCTGACAATCCACAGAGGTGGTCCTCCTTTGTGAACATCATTTCCTGGTGAATAAAGCTTTACAGTCTCCAGTTCTGCAAGCCACCTGATTCTGCATCGTCTCAGGTGTCTGGTTAAAAATGCCCGCCACCTCAGACTTACAAAATCAAGCTCTCTGGGGGTGGGAATGTTTAACAGACTCCTCAGGCAATGTGTAAGCACACTAATATCTGAGGATTGCTGCTCTATTTTTTTACCAAAGGCTAAACAATTGATCTTTGAACTCATAAGCCTTGCCCAGCCAAACAAGGCCAGGCAGTCCCAAACTAGAGGAAAGATGGAAAAGGTAGGTGATTTTATCTGGCACATGTTTGTCCTGGGTAACGTAGAGAGTGTCTCCATTTCGATGATGATTGTTTGTTTTTAGAGTTATGGTGAATGGCCTACCCGCTTGCCATGGAAGCCATTCATTCTGGATTCAGATGTAGCCGGGCCTGACCATTTTGTTGGTGGGTTAACCAATGGTCTGTAAGCAGCTTTGGCTGGAGTTGGGTGTTGGCTTCTCAGTGGGGACCACACCGCCTCACTTGCGGGGTGCATCTGAGCATGACGACTGGTGGGAGCTCATGGAGAGGGGTCAGGAAGCCCTCACAGAATGGAATCTAAGCAGATGGGTTCAGCTGGGGTGAGAAGTATGGCTGCTGTGTAAGGGGGATCATTTGGGGTGGAGAAGAGGAGATTTGCAGGTAGGTCAAAAATATCTTTTGAAGAACACAGATATTTGCAGAACGACACTTGTTAGGAAAGAAGGGGGCTTTGGGCTAGGGTGTGCGTGTGCGTGTGTGTAGGGGGGTCTCATCTGTTCCTTCTGTTGCTAAGGAACCTATAAGCTAGGGTTTAAAAATAAATGAGGAGTGGGTGGGCATATGCAGTGACTCCTGTCTTTTTAGGAACCAGAGCCCTTTACAAAAAGCCTTTAAATAACTATTTCTGGAGGCAGATTATTCATTTTGCTTGACTTTTACTTTGTTAAGTAAAATAAACTCCTTTATATACCCCTCGATTTCCCCTCATTATCTTTTCTTCCTTTTTTAGGGAACCATTTTTCCCATGAGAATTTTTCCTTTATTTTAGATTTGGCTCCCCTAGAGCAAATAGTCTCTGGAGACTGTAAAGCTGAAGGGTTTAGAAGGCAGTGCAAGCGAGCTGGTACTTTTCTCTTAAAATTACTACTTCCTTTTTCTTTGCAAATTATGGTGCTGCAACAGATACATATGTGCCAGTGACTATATAATGTGTAGGAACTGGGTTTCTTTTTTTTAACCGCCATAAGAATTCCCATTTAAGTCAGTAAAATTAAAGAAAAAAATCTTTTAGAAGCACACAGGGGAGGAGAAGGAGAAGGCTGCCGATGTTTATTGTCTTCTGTGTGCCAGGCGCTGCCCTAGGTGTTATGGTATATTTTATCTTATTTACTCTTCATGACAGTCTTATGTTGTGATTATGGTTATTTTTATTTTACAGAAAATGAATCTGAGGCTTAGAGCTTGGGTAGGAGGCAGAGTTTAAACCCAGATGTGACTCTAAGTGACTTTCTCTTTCGACTGCACCATGATTTCCTAAACATTCATTTCTGGCTTGACCTCTCCCCATGGGTGTGTATGTGTATGCATGTCGGGGTGCAGTGGACGCTGCTCTTTCACCTTTTCCATAATATGCCACAGGTCATTGCGGATTATCTCTTGTCTACTTTATTCTCTGGACCATGTCCCTTTGGCTATATAATTTTAAGGAACTCCTCTACTGTTTCAGAAATGAAAATGAATATAAATTCATGATCATCAGGAAATAGATTGGTTTTGCTTCTGAGAACAAAACCACCTACATGACACCTGCCATGTCTCTGAAGATAGTCCTTGTAGAGTTTTATATGCCTTTTAATTAAGATTACACAGGTGTTGTGTAGGTGAACCTAGATCCAGCGAAGAGCTGGCCTGTCTGTACCTCCTCGAGCAGCACAGACTCAATGAGGAAATGTGATTTTGCTTGTAAGGAGGCCTGAGCAGTTACCATTACTTAAGAGATGTTGATGCCTGTGCTTCAGTTTCTCTACTTAGAAATGAGGATGGTAATACCAGACCCTCCATAAGGGGAGTTGTTGGTATGAGACAGAAGTAGCAGCAAGGAGGATTAAACTTCTTAGCTTAGGCAACTAGGTAAAAAAGGATCTATTATTCTTTATAGGTTGGGAATAAGAACAGAGTATTTCCATTTTGTGTTTTGGCCTGCAGCTCAAGATTATGTGATTATAAGAAGGATGATTGGGATGTTGAAAGCCAAACAGGATAGCGTGGACATTGTTCTTTCTTGGGAAATTGATTGGGAATTGATTGTGTATGGGGGAAGTGTTCTTTTCCCCCATACACAACCAGCATGCAGCATCCTCTTTTGTAAATCAGTTTAATGTCTTTGCCTGTGCTTTATATATTGGTTAGGTATTTAGAGACTTTAAGATCGGATGAAAACCTTGGTTCTAATTTAATGTTTCCTTCCCCAGTAATTACTTGGGACTTGGCTAAGTGTAGACTTCCGCCATCAGGACACACACATGCAAGACTGCGCTTGAACCACTGTCCAGAGTACTTAATATGCTCTGATTGACCTTTCAGAGGCTTGGTTTTCACATGGGATGGTGACAGCACTGGGTCCTGCTGAATCAGAGGATGGAGAAGTTGAAGGGAGCTTTGCTGGTGCTTATTTCTGCTGTGGCAGCAAGAGCATTGCCTCGTAGGGTCAGATTAAAGTAGACTAGGGCTCGCTCTTTGAAATATTTCACTTTCTAATCTGAGAAAATGAGGACTCTTAGTGAGGGCTCAGGCTGGCTGCACTTGCCATGTCCTTCTGGGCTAGGATCTGGGATACACATCCCTTATGCAATCCTGAGGTGTCCTTGAAGTGGGTTCAGAGGCACTCCCTCTCCGAGACCAGAAGCATCTGGAAGGACCATTGCCTACATGTTGGGCTGTGACACTTGCTTTCTTGCGTGGGTTTGTGTTGGTAACACTGATCCTAATTATTTTTTCTGAGACCCTATAGTTGTAGTTTTAGGACAGTTGTTACCGCAAATTAATGGTGGTCTGAGAGCTTTTCTT